ATATAATAAAAAATATTTTTTTTTATCATTTAACTTAATTTATTTATAAATTATATGATTTAAACTTGTGATTACTTGTTACTTATATTGAAAAGAAATTGTTACTTAAATATTTAAATTATTAGCTATAAAAATTATGTATTATATCATTAAATGAGTAAATTTTGGTACCTTTTCATGCATTTTGTTAATTTGAAAAAAAAAAAGAAAAAAAGGAGCAAATCTTGTGCAATTATGGTTTTTTAAAGTGAAACAAGATTGTGCATGAGATTACTCCATAAATAATAGTACAAGTGATGAGATAATGATGATGATGGCCGAACCAAAACCCAAGGCATATTTTCCTTCTTTCTTCCGTGAATTTGTGCGCGTATCATTTATGAGACAAAGAAAAAGGCACTGACCCTGAACCTGAATCCAACCCTACAGCTGGGTTCCAGAAATGACCACGACCTCTGGACCCCATACTCTCAACACACCCTTTTTCTCTCTCTCATAAAAACAAAATTATTGTGTTCATCATAATATCAAAGCAATCCCCCCACGACCAACGGGAGAAGAAACCACCAACTCACCAAGATCACCATCCATCCATCCATGACCAAAGCTCGATCAAAGGAGGAAGCTTTTTCTTGAGGGGAATGTTGTCTGGTTCAAGGATTGGTATATATATACCAATATCGATCCTTGTATCCATTCTGATTCCAGTTTTATATGGGCCCTCGGACCAGGCTTCATTCCCCTTAATTACTGCTTCCATGGACCCAAATGAGATTTCTTTTCCTCTGTATTATTTACCTTTCAAGATTTGATTTTGATCCATGGATGACATGATCTGGAGGTAGGTATTGTAATATTCATTCTATTTGAGTATTTTCTTGATGGATTTTTTGTTTTTCACATAAATTAAGGTTTTGCAGATTGGTATAATGATGAAAACCTTTGACTCTCTGTTTGATGATCTGTTTCTGCTGCAAGAATAGACAAAGGTTAATCTTCTCTCATCACTGTGTGTGTGTTTTTTTATTTAGATTATTTCATGTTTTCAACACCAGCTATCATTACTGTTTGTGTTTCTGTCAGTCTCTCCCAAACCCTTTTTGGTTTATATTGATCTTATTGTATTCTAGGCACATATCATCATTCCCCTGTCACTCCTAGGGCTCAAAACCCCTCATTTTTCAAAATAATTGTACATATAATCTTTTAGAATTAGGGTTTTTTCCCATCATCTGTGGATCCAAGAGGAAGATGATTAACCCTTTAATCCTTAGATTAAGTTGTTTTTCTTTTATTAATGGTGGTAGTTAGATCTACATATATTAACTGTATGATCTTCTTCTTCTCACTCTAGCGGTCCAGCTATTGGGTTTACTGTTTTCTTTCTTGACAACTCACATTTCGCATTAATATTTCTTGGAGGAAGATAGACACAAGAGATATCTATCACT